GGATCGTCTCACAAAGTATGCTCACTTTATACCTATCACTCATCCTTACACTGCAAAGTCTATTGCTAGACTATTCGTGGAATACGTGATGAAGCTGCATGGGGCACCACGATCAATTGTTTCTGATTGAGATCGGATCTTTATGAGCAACTTTTGGTCTGAGTTCTTTAAATTTCAAGGGACCAAGTTATCCATGAGCTCAGCCTACCACCCACAAACAGACGGATAGACTGAGGTAACCAACCGAACTCTCGAGCAGTACTTAAGGTGCTACGTTCATCAATTTCCGAAGAGGTGGGAAAACTTTTTGCCTTGGGCTGAGTATTGGTACAACACCATATATCACGAGTCGACCAAGATGACACCATTCGAGCTAGTATACGGGCGTAAACCTCCGAAATTGGTCAACTATTTGGAGGGAAGTACGGTTAATGATGAAGTTGGTCGAGAACTCGAGGAACGAGATCTGATGTTGCGAGAGTTGAAGAAAAATCTCAAAGGTTCAATGAATCGAACCAAAGCCTTCGCAGATGAAAAGAGGTATGTCTACCTGAAGCTACGACCTTTCAGACAGCGCACAACAGCACAAAGGGCTGCAACTAAACTAGGCGTTCGCTATTATAGACCTTATCAGATTCTGAAGCGCATTGGTCAGGTAGCTTATCGTCTAGAATTGCCAGAAAGTTCTCAGATCCACCCAGTTATCCACGTCTCACAACTCAAGAAGAGTTTAGGAGAAGCGCAGAAGTGTTGTGAAGAACTGCCAGCAACCGCAACTGATGGTAGGATCATGGTGCGCCCAAAATGTGCGATTGAGTATCGCAAAGTAAGGAAAGCAGGGCGCTATCGTTGGGAAGTATTAGTCGATTGGGAAGAGTTGCCACCTGAAGAAGCCAAGTGGGAAGATTTTGAGGAGATGCGCGATCAATTCCCGAATTTCATCCTTGAGGACAAGGAATTGCTTGAAGGGGGACGGGAATGATGCGGAAGTGGCTAGGCAGCTCAAGAACGCCGCGAGTCGCGCTTACCACGCACGCAAAAGGTTAGCACGAGGAACAGCGGAAGTGCGCGCACTGGAGTATAGTGCGCGCGAGACAAGCATAAGTGGCCAGGTAACGGACGAGAATGAACGCACATGATTAGCGGACGAGAAGGGTAAGCGAGCATCAACAGGAATGGGTGTGCAGTACGCGCAAGGCGTGTGTGTGTGCACGGGGCGTGATGCCTAAGACATAGAGGCATGCGGTAAGGCAGAGGGTGACGCACGTGGGAAAGCTGCTGACAGCGAAGGCGCGCGTGACACGCCTAACGAAGATGCACGCGCGGGGTAGGAGGCTGCATTCCTTGAGGAGTGCGGACGGGCGTGTAGGGAGGCGCACAAGGTCGGCGCTAACGCACAGGCGTGCGCGGCAAGCCAGGCGCACGAGCACGCGCTAGCAAGGTCGGCGGAGGACTAGGGCGAGGGTGCGCGGGCGGTGCGAGAGGCGGCCGAAGAGAATAGAGAGAGAGAGGGATTCCTTGGAGTGCAAGACAAGTTCAAGATCCCTAGTTATTTAGTTTCCATGTTGCATTAAGATATCTAGCTTAATTAGGATACTTTATATTTTATTGCTTTCTTAGAGTTATAGTTATATTATGATTAGATCTAGTTGGTGCCTATATAAAGGGCCTTCTCCTATGTTATTTTTCATCATTCAAGAATCAATAGAAATCAGAACTTTCTTCTTCCACTTTGCTTTAGTCTTTCACCAAAATACTATTGCAATTTTATTCGTTTCAATAGGCACGGTT